AATATATTATTATTATTATTACTATTATTATTATCTCACTTCTCTGCATGCATCTATCTGATGTGCCGTATGATGTTAGGTTATTATTACAAACTAATCTGCTCTTTATGCTGTAACATCATCAAGAGTGAAACCCTGCATGCATGCATGCATGCATGCATGCATGCAGAGTGATAGAGATATACTTATGCTGTTGTTCCTTTAAGACAGACGCCTGGCTGTATGCTGTAGGGGCATCTTCAAAGCCTGAAGCACATTCAAAAGCTTTCTTATTAATAAAGCGTATCGTCAGCTGTCTAGACAGCTGACAACTCTATTGCGCAGACGCGAAATGTCTTCGTACCTTTTAGCTAACAAAGAAAAAAACAAAAGGCGCACCCTCTAATGCACCTTCCAAAAAAAAGCGGCAGCAAACCAGCTCGCTAGCTAGCTAGCTAGGCAGCTAGCTAGCTAGCTAGGCAACTAGCTAGCTAGCTAGGCAGCAAGCTAGCCAGCTAGCTGCATGGCAGATGACCTGCCACGGAGCAGCCTGATAGGCTCGGCAGCAGCTTATTTGTTGTTTCGCTTTTAGTGAAGCTTATTCAGCTGGGTATAGCTAGACAGCTAGCTAGCTAAGGAGCACGCTGGCTAGCTAGCTAGCTAGCTAGCGAGCTAGCTAGCATGCTCTTCGCTAGCTCCTCATAAGTCTAGAGTTATGCCCCAGTAGCCGCATGAGCAAACGCTTCAATGTAGCGATCAAGTGCCGCCTCAGTATTATCTGCTGCTGCGTGCAGCAGCTGAGCGCAAGCAGCAGCTGCCTTCAGCAGCAATCCCTGAAGAGGCAGCGGCGCCCAACCCAAGGAGACAGAGAAAGCCCCGTTGCTGCTAATCAAAGTAATTAAACCTTTACAGCAAACAGCTTTAGCTGTGGTGCGACACTCTTGTCGGAGTTCAGGGCCTCCCAGCACAAGCAGCAGCAGCAGCAGCAGCAACGAGAGCAGCAGCAGCAGCAAACACCAACGAAAATACCGCCGCTTCGCAACCCTGACCGATGGTCCCTGTACAATGCTGCTGCAAGCAGCTCCACTGCTGCTGCTGCTGCTGCTGCTGCTGCTGCTGCAGTTATCCCTTGGGCTGATGCTGTCGCCTTTGCTGCTGCTGTCTGCTGCAGCAGCGTCTACTGCAGCAGCAACAGCATTGGGCTGCTGCATGCGCATTCTGGGTTGATTGCATTTGCTGCTGCAGCTCAAGACAGCCGCCTCCGACAGTTCCTCTTGGAGTGTCTTTTGCCGGTTCTGCTGCTGCAGCTGCAGTTGCTGCTGCTGTTGCTGCTGTTGCTGCTGCTGCTGCGACTGCACACCACTACCGCTTGCATGCAGCGAGGGCTGAAGAGAAATATCTAAACTCTGACTGAGGCGGCGGCTACTCCATCTAACGGCAGCACCAGAAGGAGGCTCTGCTGCAGGGGGCATCGCAGCAGCAGCTGCTGGTTCAGCAGCTGAGACAGCAGCATCAGCATCAGCAGCAGCAGCAGCAGCAGCAGCAGAATCACACCATGTTGCAAGCGAGCTACGCCGTAGCGAAGGGATGATGGGCCCCAAACTGCATCTCCTCTCATTCCCTCGCAGGCGAATGCCGAAGCCCCTCTTGCTGCTGCTGCTGCTGCTGCTGCTGCTGCTGCTGCTGCTGCCCTCTTTCTTGTTGTTGCATTCATCCGGAAGCGTAGGCTGACTACTGCTGCTGCTGCCGCTGCTGCTGCTGCTGCTGCTGGTCGCTGAGTGGTTCCCTGCCTGTGCAGCTGAAGTCCGGAGGTGGGCTTTGAGTGCTGAGACTTCTCGGTGCAGCCTGAAGGTAATGCAGCAGCAAGTTAGCAGCAGCACAGATGCAGCAGCAACATAAGAACGGCATGCGTGCTTCTGCTGCTTCTGCTTCTGCTGCTGTTGCTGCAGCGGCTATGTTTCTGCTGCTTCTGCTGCTGCTGCTGCAGCTGCTGCGCCTGTTGCTGCGACTGCTGCTGGCCTTTGTCTATTTATGAAGCATGCATTTTGATTATTAAAAGCATTAACCTGTCTCTCTCCTCCATCACTTCATCTAATCTCCTGTTCAACTCCGCTGTCTCCTCCAGCAAACGCTCAGACACAGAGCCGCCCAACCCCTCACCCCACGCCTGGCGGCTTCTCGACCCCTGCAGCAGCAGCAGCAGCAGCAGCAGCAGCAGCAGCAGTAGCAGCATCAGGAGTAAGAGCAGCGGTAGCAACAGCAGCAGCAGTACAAACAGCAGCACTAGCAGAAGCAATAGCAGCAACAGCGGGAGTAAGCGCAGCAGCAACAGCAGCAGGAGGCTCTATTACAAGAAGTGAATTGGAGGGGTTGAAGCGGGCCTTGCAGCAACCACTAAACCTGCAGCAGCACTCACCTCTGCAGCTGTTGCTTGGTGAAGTTTGCGGGATTGCTGCTCTGCTGCATCAAGCTGCTGCTGCTGCTGCTGCAGAGTCTGAGCGGCACACAAGTAGACACAACAGCAGACAGTACTTCTGCTCCTGCTGCCAGCATTGGGCCCCCCTACTGCTGTTGGGAAGTGTGTTGCTGCTGTGTCTGCTCTTCTTCTTGCTGTCGCTGCTAATGCTGTTGCTGCTGCTGCTGCTGCTGCTGCTGTTGCTGCTGCTGCACCTCTTCAAGGGTGAGGATTCTATTTCTCTGGGCGTTTAGGCGAAGTCCCCATTGCTGAGCGTTTGCATGCATCTGAAGGATCCAAACACAATACAAGAGCGCAGGTCTGCTGCTGCTTCTGCTGCTGTTGCTGCTACAGCTGCTGCTGCTGCTGCTGCTGCTGAGAAGAGATTGTCAGCTTACCTGGTCGCGAGTCCGCTGCAGCAGCTCTTCCTTTTGCTGCAGCAAGGACCCCGTGAGGTAGAGAAGAGACAGCTGAAAGTCAACCATTGCTGCAAACTCTGCTGCGCTGCTGCTGCTGATGCTGCTGCTGCTGCTGCTGACGTCCCTGCTGCTGCTGCTCCAGCTGTCTGCTGCTTCCGATTGGGCCCCCCCTGCGTCTGCCTGTTTAAATGCTGCATGAACTGCGCGTACACCCGAAGTCAAGAAGAAGACAAAACAAAGACAGAGTGCAAACAAACAAAGACAAGCCATGAGAGCTGTTCCAACGTACATAGCAGCAGCAGCAGCAGTAGGAGTAGCAGCAGCAGCAGCAGCAGCAGTAGGAGTAGCAGCAGCAGCAGCAGCAGAAGCAGCAGCAGCAGCAGCAGCAGAAGCAGCAGCAGCAGCAGCAGCAGCAGCAGCAGCAGCAGATGTTCCTCTAGGAAGCCAGAGAGGAGAAGAAAGAGAGAAGCAGCAAGAGAGAGAGGCCGGCAGCAGCAGCAAGACAAACGAGAGAGACACAGAGACAGCAGCAGATCGCACTTGCAGCAAATGCTCTCCGTTTGCTCTCCATAACAAATGCCTCGAAGTTCCGCGGGTCAAATGCATATTCCCAGCTGCCCATTGGATCTGCAGCAGCAGCAGCAGCAGCAGCAGCAGCAGCAGCAGCACCTGCTGCTGCTGCTGCTGGGGCTCCTGCTGCTGCTGAAGTGCTCGCCCCCTCCTCAGGTACATCGCCAGCGCCTTCCTGCTGCTGCAGCAAAAGCCTTGCAAACGCGGCAGAACCAGGGGCTAGCCACAGCAGCTTCTGCTGCTGCTGCTGCTGCTGCTGCCGCTGCAGTGGTCTGTGTGCTTCTGGCTGCAGCAGAGAGTTTGAGCGACAGAATGAAGGCCCCAGGAGACGGGGATTAAGAAGCTCCGGTAGCAGTGGGTTCAACCTGGACCCATCTTGCTGCTGCAACAGCAGCAGCTGCTGCTGCTGCTCCTCCTCCTGCTGCTGCTCGTCTTGTCTATCTAATTCCCCTTGCTGCTGCTGCTGATTCTGCTGCTGCTGCTTCTCTTGAGGCCCCAGCTTGCTGCCATCTAAACACAGAACCGGCGTCACTCTGGCGGTTGGCGAGGAAAAGCTGCTGCTGCTGCTGCTGCTGCTGCTGTTGCTGCTGTTGCTGGTGCTGCTGAGTCTCAGCCCCTCCTTGGCCCTGGTTGTAGCCCGTCGGATGTCTTCAAAGGCAGCAGCTGCTGCAGCAGCAGAAGCAGCAACTGTTAATGCACCAGGCGTGATGTTCTGCGTTGATGGCGCCCCAGTGAATAGATGGATGCTGCTGCTGCTGCTGCTGCTGCTGCGGCCCAATGCAGGGTCGCTGCTGCTGCTGCTATCCGTAGGGCTGCTGTTGTTGCTGCTGCTGCTGGTGTTGCTGGTGTTGCTGCTGTTGCCTGCACCATTGCCGCTGTTGATCGCTAGTTTGCTGCTAGGGACGGCATCAGAGGTGCTGCTGCTGTTGTTGCAAGGGCTGCAGCTGTTGCTGCTGCTGCAGAATGAAGAAGGGGTAGGAGCAGCCGTATCTGCTGCTCCTAGCGGATCCCCAGCAGCATCAGCAGCAGCAGCACCTGCTGCTGCTGCTGCAGCAGCTGTTGCAGTTGGGTCTAGACATAGGGCCCCTCCACGACCCCACCGCTTCTTCATACTGCCCATGAGGGAGGCAGAACCCCCCCAGAAATATTGCCGTTCGTTGGTTGCTGCTGCAGCATCAGCAACAGCTGCGCTGCTCCTGCTGCTGCTCCACCGGCTGCTGCTGCTGTTGCTGCTGCTGCTGCGGCTGTAATGGCAGCCAGTCAAACAAGAGCTGACGCTGCTGCTGCTGCTCGTGCTGCTGCTGCTGTTGTGAATGGTGACGCTACTGCTAACGCTGCTGCTCCCGCTGTTTCAATGGACCTACTTTCTGAAGATGGCGCTTTTGCTGCTGCTGCCTTCACCGCTTCAGCTGCTGCTGCTGCTGCTGCTGCTGCGGTTGCCCTGGTTTCAGTGGTGCAGCACGTGCAGCGCGTTCCCAGCCAACGTGAAGAGTTGAGGAGAAAAGTTTTCAATATTTTCAATGTTTAAACTGCTGCTTTAAGTTGTGGGGTGTCGGTGGACCTTTGAGGTGTCTGGCCAGGTGAATGGGAGGTGCCGCTCCTCGTCTGCAGCCTTCTGTTTATTATTTTAGACTATTTCTGGGTTTTAATCAATTAATATTCAATGCCAATTGAAATAAATCTTGTAAAATACAACGAAAAACAAAGAATGATACCTCAAGAAAGTAGGGGCCCGAGCCACCTGTTAGCGGCTGCTGCTGTGCTGTGTTGCAGCTTGTTGTTTGTCTTCTGTTTGTTTTTACCTTTCTCAATACATCTTCTATGATGCAGTGGAAGTATTTGACATCTAAACACCCCTGTGTGCACAGTTATCTATCCCTGCTGCTGCTGCTTCTACTGCTGCTGCTGCTGCTGCTGCTGCTGCTGCTGGCCTTGTTGCTGTTCCTCTTTTGTTGCCGAAGCTGCGGTTGTTTCGCTTGCTGTGCGGATGCTGTCCACATGGGGCATTTCCCTGTTGTTGCTGCTGCTTCTCTTGCTGCTCATTGGGCTGCTTCCTCAGCGTTGCTGCTTCGGTGTTGCTGTTGTTGTTTTGGTGCGAGATGCACAGCTGTTGCTGTTGCAGCTAAAAGCCCCTATCTACAGCACTGGCAGACACTCCTCGCATTGTCTGTTGCTGCTACAGTTCGGGGGTCTGTATCTGTTGCTGCTGCTGCTGCTACTGGTTCTGCTGCAATGTGTGTGCTTCCCTATCAGAGAGGTTGTGCAACACAGGAGGCCGAACCCCCTCAGTTGGTGGCCTTTGCCTCCTTTGACCATCTCTGGAGAAGGGGAGCGCCTTGAACAATCTGAATGCCTTCCAGCGATTGCCAGCAGCAACTGCTGTTCCTCTCAACAGCAATAACAGCAGCAACATCACGGCGGTGCCGGCGCCGTTAGCCCAGCGGGCTGTGAATGAAAACGGTAGAAGATATTAAGCTTGTGCGCATTAAGCCATCAAAAGGTCTCCTCAGGTCGCATTAGGGAGCAAAGATGCCTTATACATAAAAATAATAAACAGGGCCTTTCTGCAGCATATCAGGGAGAGAGACAAGAAAGACAACCGAAATCGCAAACGAGAAGGAAGCAGGATCGGGAACAAATTCCTCTGTTATTTGCATCTATGGTGAATTTTGTGCTCTGCTTCATCTGCGGGTTTATGAAATAGAAAAACGGTGAAATGCCACAAATACACAAAACGGCAAGACACCCTGGAGTTTAAGAAGGCAGAACCATGCCCTGATACACTGCATGCACTGAGAGCCCCCTGAGTTTTTAGGGAGTGCATTCCTCCCCCCAAAAGAAAATATAGTGTAAGCCTCAGCAGAATACCAACATCTATGCAAGCGAAAGGCAGCGTTCACGCCAGCCCAGAAAGATTGAAAAAGTTGAAGTGCTGGTGGCGGCGTCGAGATATCCATAAGTAGGGAAAGAAGCGGAAAACTCAGCAAAGCTGGATTGCACGTAGATAATAGGATATGAGCGGCCTTGTACGCGCGACAGTACTACTGTCAACAAAAGCTGGCAGGTAGCTTTCTGAGAAGGAGCTGTAAGCTACCTCTTAATAAGTGCATCTGAGAACCTTTTATTCAGCTGTGCCCGCTTCTGCACTCTCTGAGGTGTTAACTGGACCAAATGCCTAAAACTGTTATCTTCATGAGATCATCACGACGGAGTGCAAGCAGCTCTCTGCCGTTTGTGGCGGCGCCTATGCACTGCGTGCAAGCGTTCTCGCTCGTTTCTGTTGGGGGTACTGATTCAAATATTGCCGTAGAAGATGTTCGGTTAGTCTCTCTAGCTTTCGGAGTGCCAGATTCGCCCTGCTTCCATATGTTCCCCATCCTTTTCTTTCTCTGGGCGAGACTACCAGTCCTATCGTTTACCGCACGAGTGCTTTTTGTGCTGGTCATTGGCAAACCCGTTGCCTTCCTTTTTGGCTAGGGCAGCAGAAGTAGCGTTTACCTGTCTTTGAGATGTAACTACCGTATGCTCTAGGCAAGTTCCACCTTATTGCGTTTTAGATCCCTCTCCACGACCCTGCTACTTGCGGATTGCCCCAATAGGAAGGTTGTTTAGAGAACTTACGTTCTATGAACCATTGATATAAAACCACTGAATTGGCTGTTGGATTTCTGCTCGACAGGGATTGATATTCCTCGAAGAAGAGCCATATTGGTCATTTCCCTTGGATGAGTTTCCTTAACTCTGCATGGAAACTTCAGGAAGGCGGTATAGTTTGAATGCTCTCCGGGAAATTCGTACCCGCGGTTTGGGATAGCCACCATTGCCGTGCCTTTCGTTTCAATGAAGAGGATGTTAATGGCAACTTTAGCTCTTCAAGTGCGATTCAGAGAGGAAATTACACCTCGAAGAAATGAAAAAATCCCTTCGCTTCCCAAACATCGCGAGGAGCGTCATATTTAGTCTATTGGCAGAAGTGAAAGCATCCTCTACGAATCGTATTGACGGTGACTCTGTTGTCTGGTGGATAAGCTGTGGATGCTGCCCTCTAACGAACGTGACGACGATCCCAGAGTTAAGTCTTCCACTCCCCAGCTGGCATATCCTGGTCATTCTCTACTATTTGACCGGGTTGAATCCACTGTGCTGTGGGAGAACTCTGGAGTTCTCTCAGGCAAGCCTGAAGTGGTGGTCCGTGTCTGTTCTCCTGAGCCATGCGGTGCTACCAAGTGTATCGACAATCTTCAACCTTTGCAGATGACCGTCTTCAGCTGCAGTAAGGATAAATCACTTAAAGAGAGAGTTCCCAAGAAGCATTTGACCTCTCTCTTTCAGCCTCCATGTTTCCTTATCGAAGATGTGCAAATCTCTGGAAATGAGATGAAGGGGAGTCCGCTTCTCACAAGTTGCAATGCAGTGTGCAACTCCTTCTGCAAGGCACCTCCTGACGCAAGCATGCCCTAACGCCTTTTTGATGCATGCGATGACACTGTAGAGAATTGTTAACTGTTTACTTCTCCCTTCATAGTCAGCCTGCCTGCATGCCAATAGATATGCATATACCAACTTCATATAGAACACGCCTGACAGTGGATGTAAGCAAAATGCTCTATTAGCAACAGCTTTCGACAGCCATGTGGGGTTTCAACATTTTGCAGCCTTACAACCCAACGTATTCGTTTATTATCATTTATTGTTGTTGATTGACTATTATGAAGTCACAGACAGGCAGGAAAGGTGAAATAAAGCTGCGCTGTGTGTGAGCGATATTTGAGTCGAAAATTCCTGTACTTCTTTTAAAACAATTTAACTCCTCATTATTAATAATAGAAATAAGAAAGAATTCAAAGTAGCACAGCTCAACCACAACAGCACTCCCGTTGCATGCGGTCACCGCCTGTGTCGGAGTCCGCTGGTCATCATTTTGTTGGCAGCTTCCACTACAATGCATGCTTAATATCGATTGAAATATTCTTTTCTATGTTTTTCTTATAAATTAATTCCCACTCCTCCCTCGTTGCTGTCGTCTTCTGCAGCCAGCCACTGCAGCTCCGTGCCGTTTGACTAGATTTCGTGCAAATCTGTCACTCTATTTCGTGTTTTCCTTTCGATCTGTTCGTCTTTGAGTCTAAACACTTCATCGGGAAACTGTATATACACTGCAGAGATCGATCCTCCATAATGCTGCGGTGGCGCCTCCTCTGGAGGCGTGTTGCTCGTGCGCGTTTCCGACATTGACTGAGGGCAATAACTCTAAGACTGAAGATATACATATGTATATATACTCCGCACGCAAATCTGCCGATATATATGTATATATATAAATATACATATATGTGTATATACACTCAAATAACACCGTCTGTATCTATATAATATATATACATATATATTTTATGGACAAATAGCGCCCCATATATATATATATATATATATGTATATCACTGCATATATATATGTATAACACCGCATATATATATATACATATACATATAACACTTCTACATACAGTTCACACGTAACAGCGCGCATACATGCGCACTCCACATGTAACGCTTCACAGGTATATACACTCCACATATAGGACAGCAAGTGCATATACACCCCGCATGAAACATCGATGTAGATGGTTGTGGTGGAACACACAGAGCATCAGATGCTGTGCATATCTCGCAGGTTGAATCTGTCTTTGCAGTGTA